ATACTTATATTAATATAATAATTATAATATTTCTAATCTTTATTCTCTTATAATAATAAGTAATTTAAGAATTAAATCTAATTCTAGCTTATTAATTTATTCTTTAAATTCTAATAATAAAAAATATTATAAAAAACTTTTACGAATTATTCTTCTAATAGAAAATACTTATTTAAGAGATATCTATAAAAATAATAATACTAATAGTTTAGAAGTATTAAAGACTTTAATAGATTAGTCTAAAAAGCTTATAATAGTTACTTATTTTGATAAAGAAAAAGAATTAAAATCTTTAAAAATAATAATAAAGATATTTAAGAGGTTTAAATTTTTAAGATAAATTACTATAAGCTCTAGCAACTTAATATTCTATTTAAGATATACTTAATTTATTAAAAATTATAATATTTAATCTTTTTAATATCTAATAAATTATTTCTAGAATTAAAAAAACTATTAAATTCTAAAAAATTGATTTTTTTAAAAAAAAATCTTTAATATATCTTATCTAATAGCCTTCAAAATAATTATAGCGAACGTTAAATATATTAATAAATTATAATCTTTATAAAAAATCATTTTCAAATCTATAATTCTTTAGACTTTTTTATTTTTTAATTTATCTTCTAGAAAAATAATAGAAAAACGAATTAAAATAAAAGTATTTATAGAATAAAGCTATGAAATTTTAAGAATTAAATTAAGATACTTAAATCTCTCTAATTTCGTAATAAATATAATTTTTAGAGCTATAAAGCATCGAATATTTCTTTAGATTTCTTTTATATTAATTATAAGCTATATCTAATATTCTAATATAATATTATAATAATTCGCTATATATATAAAAAGGCCTTTAAATCTAATTTTCGAAAGTAAATAAAGATATAAATTTAAAAAGCGTATTAATTTAGAAGATATTATATTTATATCGAAACCTTAATTCATCTAAGTATAAGATTTCTTAAAACTAATATCGAATCTATTAACTTTCTTCGTAATAATAGAAATACGGAATATCTTATTTATATTTATAAGAGAGCTTAAAAAGTATATATACTTCTTAGTTTCTATAGTAGAAGTATTAATATAAAATATAGATATTAATATAATAAGATTCTCTAAAATTTACTAAATAGAAAGCTAAGATATAAATATTTAAGATATTAATATAAAAGAAAATATTAATATAAATTAATAGACTTATAAATACTCTAAAGATAGTATAAATATTTATAAATTTATTATATAAAAGTAGATTAACAGCTAATTAAAGGTGCTTGCGTAGTATTTATAGTAGGCTTTAAAATTTATTTCTTAAAAACTTAAGTATAAGACGTTTTAATTTTTTATATATAGTAGATAATTATATTATAAGATCTATTATATTTATATCGACTTTAATACTCTTAAATATATATCGAATAGAAATAGGAGAATTATATTTAAATTTATTAAATAAATTTATTAAAGATTAAGATTCTACTTTTTTATTAACTCGCTTCTTATCTTTATATTTAGAATACTCTTCTTTTAAAGTAGTCTAAAATAGATATAGCTAGTTCTAGAAAGAAAATCCTTGATTTATAGCTGTCGAAGGTTATTACGAACTTATTTAAATAGAAACTTATAGCGAATAAAAAGAAGTATTAAAATTTAGATTAGTATTAAGCTACTTTTATAAATATTAAAATATCTAAAACTATTATAATATAAATTGCTATAATTAAATAAGTATCGACTAAGATCTCTTAGATTACTTTTCTTATTATCTCTAAGATATTAATATTAATATTAATACTTCTTTTATATAAGCTCGCTTATTAAATCTTAATCTTTATTAAAAAGAGCTTTAGCGATTTTTACGTTAACGAAATAAAATTAATTTAATTATATTATTTTAAATTATATTAAATTAGAATAAGAAGAAATATAAGAATTTATAAAGCTTAAAGATATTATTTAACTTAATCTAATAGAAGAAGAAGAAGAAGAAGCTACGAAAAGCTTCTATAAAGAGATAATCTTATAAGATCTAGAAGATTTATTAAACTTTTTAAATTTAATAAAAATAAAGTTTAATTATAGATTATTCTCGAAAATAAGTATTTTTAGATACGACTATTCTTAGATAAGTAGTGAAGTATTCTTATAATTAGAAGAGATGTAACTCTTAATATTATACTTAATATATAATTATTTATCTTTTCTATAAGACTAATAAATAATATTATTAATATAAGAATTCTTCGAGATAATTTAATTAGATATATCTTTTAAAATTAATTAATAATTATAAAAGTAATTATTAGCTATAAAATTCGTAAGTTTACTTCTATTAATATTTTCTTTATTAGAATTCTAAATTAAAATCGAAGTTTAAATAAAAATTAAAACTTTATATAAAGAATAATAATACTTTAAGAGTTAGAATTATATAAAATATTAAAAATTTAAAAAAGTCTCTAATAGCTACTTCGATAGATTTATATAAAAAAACTAAGATTAATAATATAAGAATTTTTAACTTTAATAGCTTAATAAGAAGTAAGTAAAAAAGTTATTTATTACTTTAATAAGTTTTATTTTATAAGAGATTTATAGAATTATAGCTAGTTAGATCTCGATTCTTTATCTAAGAGCTTCTAGATTTCGATATTAATACGCTATACTTCTTTCGCGAGATTATAGATTATATATAGAGATCTATCGAAAGATACTATATCTCTCATTACTTCCTTTTAAATCTCTTAATTATTTAATTCTCTAATAAAAATACGAAGAATAATATTAAGTATAGTAGATTTAAGAAGACTAAAGATAGCACTAGAAGTAATAGCGAGTTTATTCTTAATTTTAACTCTCTATATTAAGTTAGTAATACGCTTAAAGTAAAAAATAAGAGATTCTTTAAAACGTTAATATAGATCTATAATCTCGATATTAAATAGAATTATACTTACTTTTATAGCTTTTAAAAAAAATTCTTATAAAATATAATTCGAAATTGTTAGATTATTTATTAAAAATTAATATACTCTACTTTAATTAAGAAGTTAAATAATTTCTAGATAATTTTCTAATTATTTAAAAATATTATCGATAAGAAGTATATTAAGATATTTCAGATACTTAGCTAGAGAGAAATAATCTTCTTTATCTTAATAATCCTTTATATCGAAATTAAACTTTCGAAGTTACTTTACTACTAATATACTAATAATTTCTAAGAAATTATTATATATACTAAATATAGAGTAAGATATATTTATTTTTATAGTATTACTAGAATATATAGAAGATTTAAACTAATTTAAAAAAGATATACTTTAATAAGATTCTAACGATAAGATTATAAAATTCGTAGGATTTTTACTAAGAGGAATTCTCGAGAAGTCTAGAGCGTTAAGATAATAATAATATATTAATTTTTTAAAAAGATTTCTAATACTCGCTAGAATAATAGTGCTATAACTTATTTATTTTTATAATAATAAAAGAGTTTTAGTAAGTAATAGCGATAATTTAAAAATCGAGTTAAATAATAACAACTTCTTAAAATACTTATTAAAGGCTTCTTAAATCTCGAGAAGTAATTTAATAGATAAAAGAGGTTTTCTAGACTAAATAACTTAAGAAAGTACTTTCATAGTAAGATTTTCAGTAAAAAATTTAGTAGAAAAATAAATAACGATAGATTATAGCTAGATAGGCTAAATAAAGATTCTAAAAATATATAAGAATAATAGTAAAGAAAATTCTACTTTAGGGTCATAAAAAGATCTAGATAAGAATCTCTAAAGAATAAGGATGATCAGGCTCGTGTGGGTAGAAGAAGAATATAGATTTCTATGGAAGCAGGATCTTTAAGGATCTTAGGGATCTAATTAAGCGAGCTATGCTATATATAGTTAGAAAGAATAACTTTATAGAAAGCACCTTCCGACTCTATATTTCAACGTTTTTTGTATACGCTAATATATGCCAAGCACAATAGGGCTGAGGTGCTGAATTCCAATAGAGATCAACCCACTTGAGTCAGAAATGGGTTGGTTCCTAGATCTGCTCTACTCTCAGCTCAAGAGGCCAATGGCACAGCGGTCCGTCCAAGAAGTTTGCGAACAGCCCTTGTAAAGCTTCCTGACACCGAAGCCTTCCGCCGAAATACCCCCTCAATTTCATTATTTTCCCTTCGTCTCCGGCATGAAGACAATGCACACAATGGCTGTGTACATCCACCAAACAAAAAGTAAGCCCCGAAGCTACACTTTGCCTATAAAATAGGGGTCGTAAGAGCCGCTAGGAAGTTCATCACCCAGTTGCTCCCATGTGTGAAATTGGTGGCCGAGGCGCGCGTTCGCTGTGGCTGACTCTCCGCCACGTAGATTCTTATCCCAACCGCCCAGGACGTGCTGAAAATGGTGACGAAGATGTAGATCGAGACGATAACCACCCAGCGGCCTGCTCCATAATGACATAGCTCTTCATGACGGTGATAGAACCAATGATACCGGTGTCCAATCTAAGTTTGGTCTGTCAGTCAATCGATTCGCAGGTTGTTAGCCGAATGACAAACAGGGCGATAGGGGGTTCATACCCAAACAGAAAGCCGCCAAATGAGCACAGTATGCTGGCGAGGACATATCTTGGGGGCCAGTGAATGTGATTAAGTGGATGCATATTTGAAAATGCTCATTGGTGTTTTTGTTATTCGCAAGGATACTCTCAGGTATTACTTGTCTACCTATCCAATTTTGTCAACATCACGTTCGTCATCATGGCCTCCGTCACAGATAGCGGGAGGTGATCCATGATGAACAGCCAACACTTAATTGGGGCCTCAGATCCGCCTGGCGCCCCTGGCCGAGCTGGGGAACCCGCGTTATTGAGACTCGCTGATTGATAGACGTGTCGACAAGGAAGTATGAGCATAGAGGCCGTAACAAGCCGTATACCGACTCACATGAATCTAGCTAGACCATCGGGAAGCTTCTAGGCCTCTAACCACAAAGCACTGTGCCATTCCGCAGCTTCACTGGCACACCTTCCACTTGCTTGTACACCGGGCCGAAGAATATCGCTACAATCTCATTTGTCCGCCCTTTGACTCCAACGTTGTAGTCTTCGATGCGGTCAAAGTCGCCTTCAGGGAGTGGAAGTGCTACCTGGAGCCATTCGTACTCTACCCTGCAACGTCTGAGGGAAAGTGCCAGATTGGAAGCGGATGTACACAGCGCAAGAAGGGCGCTTTTGGCGCTCTCCCATCTTTTCGGCTCCGGAAGGCATTTGTAGACGTGCTTGAGATTTTCTTTGAGCTTTTCAGGAATTTGAACCACTCGGAAGTCGCCATGCTCGCTCGCTATCAGCCCCGAGACTTTAACGGTCTGGATCCTCCACTTCACGATCTCCGGCGGCGAGACTGTACACGACCAGATGTGTTAGCTCTCATCACATGAATTGGGGCAGAGGTTCTGATAAGTTTTACCCTTATGCTCTTGCAGCAGGCTCTCAAAATCGGCTTGATGCTCTTCTAACTTCCCATCGAGGCCGAAAAGCCGTGCATCGTGACTGAAGAACATCTGTGCTAAAACGGTTGCAATATGTGCTTGCAAGAAGTAATCACGATCATCTGCTTTCCGTACGTTGTCGTATTCCTTCCAGCTTGTCTTGGTCCGAGTTGCTGGAAAGTGTTTCCTCACCAAATGTCCTATGTGCCATTCCAGTGCCGTAAATTGTTTGGTGATGTGCTGGTCATCATAAGGATCAATCTCTTGCGCACTTTTTGCGACCATGGCATGTAGCTTTCCATTGTCTTGTACCTTCAGCCTGTATTGCGTAGTCAACGTTTTTTGCTGGTCTTTTAGGCCGTTGATCGTCTTCTCTTTCGATGCAAGCTCATCCTTGAGTTGGAAAACTGTGGACTTGGGACTGTCTTCCATCTCACTTAGACGGTCGTTCTTTGCTTTCAGGGCACTATGTACTCGAGAAAGTCGTTGGTCCTTTGCAAGTAGCTGAGATTTTGAGGCCTCAATGTTTCGCTCGAGCGTTTTCAGCGACTCGTCTTTTGCAGAGAGGTCCCGTGATAAATGCTCGATCTCCGCTGCATGCTTTGCCTGAAGCTCCCCAGTCTTGATCTTCGCAAGCAGTGACTGATACTAGCTGGTTAGTATACGGACTATCATAGCACTGGTGTAACATCGACTTACTTGTTTTTCGGAGCGTTCGTTTCCCGCAATGTCACCTTCATACATTAACAAGGCTCTGCAAGCGTCCCATAAATCGTCCCAGCACTTGGAGGCGGGCTCGTGAAGAGAAGGATATGACGACGAAGATCGATCCCTTGTGCCGAGAATATCAGAAGTTTTGAGGATAACCTCTCGCACCAAAGCCTTTTTAGGGTCATCTCTATGGGGACTGCCCGGGTCGGGCTCGATCCCCACCATGGTGTTTTCTTGATCACTATAATCCGACATTTTATATCTTTTGATGATTAGTGAAGGGTTCCCGCTGGATTATGTTACCTGACAGTTCCAGAATGACCGACAGAACCTGAGTGCACAATGTCTTGCAAAACATTTGCTATATTGAAGAATGGCCGCAGGAGATTCAAAAAAGCAGCAGTCGAGGCTTCACACATGAGGGTTGCCAAGTGTCCTAGTGTAAAAGGGTCAGTGCGGTAGATTCTTTGCAGTGGGTTATGGCGCGCTAGTAGCAAAGTCTACGATACCAAGCGAGATGACGAGAGGGCGCGCATCATATGCATTTGATCAAGGCGCGTTATTACCAAAGGCCCTGATGATTGATGGAAGGGTGTGCACTATTAATTCTATGCAGTGAGATGGATCAAAGCGCGCTAATACCAAAGTCCACGACAAGGCTACGAGGCCACGGTTTTCGATCTCTGTCAAAGGCTCATGCAAGGTCAGCATCTAGTTGCTGCCTTGCCGTCACTGATGTCTAAGTCCACCTATTGCAATCAGCGAGTCGTAGTGGGATGTTCAGACCGATTCTCCCGATCCAGAATTGAACGCGACTTATCAATCCGTTCCCCGACTTACGACCTTATCGCCCGTTCGTCCCGCATTCAGTTCCATGCAGTACATCATCTACAGCAAACCTCTGCGGGGAGACTCCAGGCCCTGATTGGGGATAGCAATACCGGAATCCCCGAGGCTGCCCGGGGAGACGCCATGCGTCAAGAGGATGGTGTCGGTGCGAACAATCCGTCCGGATGTGATGCACAGACGGAGCCTCGGGAATGAGCGACCCAGAAGATGCAGGCTGCCTTTTTGAGCTAGCCACATGTATGCCCCGCTTTGATTCGTATCCAAAAAGAGCGCAAGTGATTCCTGATTGGATCGGTTTCTAAAAGGCATTGCGAAGACTTAGTTCAAGTAAGTGTAAATCGTTCATCACTTCCGAATACACTTTTAAATACGTAAGAAATTTGCTACAATAGAAGAAACCAATTCCTGATAGGTAACGATGGGTCCAACTTCAATTTTCCGAAAATCTGGTAGAAGGAACAAAAGCTCCAGCAGCTTGAAATCCACCGGTGGAGCGATGTATACCCCGTCAAGAGTATCTTCGCCTTACCCTTCGTCACAACCGTCACCGAACTTATCTTCGCCTTACCCTTCGCCACAACCGTCACCGAACTTATCTTCGCCTTACCCTTCGCCACAACCGTCACCGAACTTATCGTCGCCTTACCCTTCGCCACAACCGTCACCGAACTTATTTTCGTCAGAAGTATCTTCTATCACTGATCTGATATCCGATACTCAGATCGAGGCGGACGACGCAGCCGACAGGGTCATCATTGCAATCGTGAGTATGACGGTCTAGAATCAAGGTGCAGTTCATCCAGCTGATCCGTAACGACTAGGATTTCGGCACTACGTACAGCGGAGTTGCGTGGGTTCTTACCGCCGCACCTTCCGAAGTACGCGTGGTCAATGAATGGCCTGGATCTAAAGGAATCACCTACGAGAAGTGTCCAACTCTTCTAAAGTATGAACCAGATGGATCGCTACGATGGGGCTTTGAGCTGGACAGGACCACCGAGGGCCGAATCGAGGCGATAAAGCTACTTTTGGACCCGGACCAGCCCAAGCCCATATATGTTCCTGCCGTGGACACCACAGCCGAGCTCCGTCGATTGGGAAAAGCTCCTACTGCGGTGGCAGCCGATTACGTTAGTGCCATCTTCAAACACTTGACAGCCTTCATCGAATCAAAGTATCCCAAGAACTACTTCCAGATACTCAAGAAGCAATACGTCATGACGGTCCCGGCTGTGTGGTCAGACAAAGCGCAAGACGCGACACTGAGGGTACGTTCACCTTCTCCGGGAGTCTTTGAATGACCACAAGTCCCTTCAAGCTAACAGTATGTGCTTGACCATAGGTGGCTCGGAATGCAGGCCTTGCTCCCGTCAAATTAATCAAAGAACCAGAAGCCGCTGCGCTCTTCACATTGCAACATATGGGCGACAAAGGCCTGGAGGTTGGCGACGCATTTGTCATCTGCGACGCCGGCGGCGGCACTGTGGATATGATATCCTACGAGATCGTGAGCTTGAAGCCTTTCAGACTTAAGGAGCTGGTTGCAGCGAAGGGTACGGAAAGAAACCTGATTCTACGCCTGACTTCTTCGCTTGCACGCAAATGCGCTGACCAAGGTTTAATATTGCAGGAGGGCTTGCCGGCTCTTTGATGCTTAACCGACGGTTCGAGGAATACGTAAAGAGTGTCGTAGGGGACAGAGATTTCTTGAGCCTTCGTGAGACTAGTGCTTTTGCTCGAGCGATGAAGCAATTCGACGAGAATATAAAGCCGGGATTCTATACCTCCGACGACGATGAGCAATTTGTGAACTTCCCGAAAGCTTCACTCAAAGACCGGCCCGAGAGAGGGCTATCAAAAGATACAATCACAGTGAAGAGGTATAGAAAGCTGCTCTTACCCTTACGAGTATCATTCATACTAAACAACAGTCCAGGAGCACCCTCCAAGAGATTTTCGACCCGATTATCGAAGATGTCGACAGGCTTGTAAACCATCAGATTACGCAAGCTCGCTTAAAAAGATTGCAGGAACAACATCCTAAAGGCCAAGAAATCACGGTAAGTAATGTCGCCTGTGTGATTGGCACACCAAAGAGTCTGACAATGTTCACATAGGCGATTTTCCTTGTAGGGGGGTTCGGCGCGAGTGCATACCTCAAAGCGAAAATAATGGCAAAATACCCCGATGTCCGTGTCATTCAGCCCCCTGATGCGTAAGTGTCATCACTCATCCGATCTACCCTTGGCGTATCCACACGAACACTACATCCGATCGCTGACATATGGGGCTGAACCTTTGCAGCTGGTCAGCTATCGTTCGCGGCGCAGCCATATACAATATACCATCCGAAGCATCCGTCGTCTCCAACATCGCACCCAAGCACTATGGCGTGACAGCCATATGTTACCCCGTCGACCCTGTCAAGGACGCAGGCGAGAAGCCACTCTTCAGTAAATGGAGAGGACAGTTCGGTGTACGAAGAATGACGTGGTATATTGAGCAGGGTGATGATCTTATGCGTGCTCGTCCCATCGAATTCGATTTCTTCCGTGAGTATGATGAGAACCCTTCGCATAGCGATTTGCAAGTCACTTCGGTACTGCTGGAGTGCGAAAGCGCAAAGGCGCCATTACACCCAAGGGACGAACTCTTGAAGACCAATTGTACGCTCAAGACGGACTTGTCTATTCTGCCAAAGGAGTTCTTTGAGAAGAAGTCGAGACGCGATGCAGATGGTAAGATGATCAAATGGTGGGAGCTGCATTACAAATTGGTGGTGACGATTCAGAGCGGGCCAATGCTGTTTAGCAACCACTGTCGCGGCAAGCAGTATGGAGCTGTCACGGCTAAGTACTGAGGGTGTCTTTCATGAGGGAGTCATGTGGTCTGTGTTGGAATTCAGCAACTTAGCCCTGTTATGCTTGGCAAGGACTATAAGTAGCAGTACTCCTCCATAGAAAAACAACAAGCCGTCATCAAAATTCAACAGGTTATAAGCCCGGTTTGACGAAAATTATAAGGGTGGAAGTACTCGAAGCGAACTAATAGGCTTCCTTACGTCGTTTATTAGACTATAAGCTACGCAGCTAGGGCGAGTATCTAATATATTTAATAAAGTCTTAAATACTTATAAATTCTCTTTCTCTTTTTTCTTTCTTTAATTATTAATTTATTTAATAATTTATTTATTTATTCTATTAATTATATATCTAAATCTTATAATTATATAATTATTATATAGTTTTATTAAAAGAAACTTTACTATCTTATAATTTTAATAATTTTATTTATATAAAATTATCTAATTTAATTATAATAAGTAACTCGCGAGTTAATTCTATTAATTTATAAAGTAGAAATATCTTATTATAATTTATAAGCGATATTTTTAATTTAATAAATAACTTTTATTAAAATATATTTATTATATAATTAAGTAATTATAATATTAATTCTAATATTAATAAGAATTCTAATAATATTATTAAGAAAACTAATAATTACTAAAGTATTATATCTAATAATTCTTTATTTATAAGCGAAAATTCTTATCTCGTAAACTTAATTTAAATTTAATATTATTAATTTCTAGAGTTTAATATTAAGAAGTAATTAGTTATTAAAGAATTTAAATTAATTAAAATATAGAATATATAAAAATATTATCGCGAGTATAGCGATACTTATTATTATAATTTAAATTATAAGAAGATAAGTATTATTAAGATATTTAATATATAATACTTTAATAACTATAATTCGATAATTATATTTCTTTAAAACTATAACGATTTTATCGTCTTAATATCTTATATCGATTTTTATATAAATAAAAAAAAGATTCGCTAGACTTTTATTCTCTTAATAAATATTAAAAAATAGATTTAAAGAAATATTAGAGATATAATATTATATAATATTAAGAAATTTATCTAGAAGAAATATAAGAGATAATATTTAAATTAAGTTTATAATTTAATTATTAGATCTTATAATATAAAATACTAGTTAATTAAAATAGTTATAAGAAATATATAATCGATAATTAGTTTTAATAATTATTTTACTATACTCTAATTATAGCGAGATCGCTATATAATTAATTTAAAATATATAAAAGATTTATAAGATAGAGTAATAGAGAAAATTTCTCTAAAAGCTATAAAGGAGACTAACTAATTTATTATTTATATTATATTATTATAATAATATTAAAATATAAAATAAAGATTATAAAAAATAAAAGAGCTCTCTATTTTAGATAAAACTCGTTTTAATAATAAAATAAGTAATTAGAGAAGTAGTAATTAATAGTATATTAAGTTTAAAGAATAATATATAAAAAGCTAATAAGATTAAAAGAAGAGTTTATTTTTATTTATATTATAAGATTAAAAATTTAAGCGAATTAAATTTAAAAATAATAACTCTTATATTAAATTTAAAATATCTTTTATTAAGATATAATACTATAATTATAAATAATTAGAATATTATAAAAATTCTTTTAAATATTTAAATTACGTTATAAGTAATAAAGTATATAATTATAAATTAAATAAGAGAAAAGATAAAGTTTAATACTTATTATTATAGTATTAAATACGCTATTAATTAAGCGATAATCTCGCTCTCTATTATTAAAAGATAAAATTATTATACTAAATAAGAAGTATAAGATAATTATTTTAAAAGATATTAATAGCGAGAAAATCTTTATATTATAATCTTTTATTAAAAAAAAAATATTTCTAAATCTAAATATATATTAATAATAATATATATTATTAATAATTATTAAATATTCTTATATAAGAAGTACGAGTAAAGGCCTATGAATTAAATTCATAGTTATTTTTTTAATTAGGGCTATCGAGTAAGTAGGTGAGCGATCTTTGGTGAGCGAACTTTGGTGAGCGATATTTGAATTCCTTGCGCTTTAATAATTATAAGACTAAATTTCATAATTCTTAAAAATTCGAAAAGCACAAATAGCGCTCTAAAATTTTAAAAAAAAATCTCAAAATTTTAATAGAAAATAAAAAAGTTATTCTATATATTAATAATGTATACCTATTTTTTTGATGAGGGGAGGCGCGGGAGGGCGAGATTTTGATGGTTGCGGATACTGGCCGGAAAGGTATGGTATATCCCATGGGATATTCCATACCAAGTGATATTATACCGTACCCGGGTATGGTATGGATAGGGTCGGATACCATTCCATTTTTCTGGTATGGGTTCGGGATCTTGGCGGGATATCCCACGGTATGGTATATCTGTGGTATCATACCATGGAATGGTATATGTATGGGATATCCCGTTGGGATTTCTATATTTAGAAGTATAAGTAGCTATTCTGGTCATCATTCTGGCCAACCATGACTGCTACTATCATGGCTGCCACTACCATAACTGCCCCTACCATAGCCCCCCCTACCATAGCCACCCCTACCATGGCCCCCTCTACCATAACCCCCCCTACCATAACTCCCCCTACCATGGCTCCCCCTACCATGGCTCCCCCTACCATGGCTATTTAAAGATAGTAGGCTATTTGAATAATAAATAATGATAGCCATGGTAATGGTAGCTGTTAAAATATCAGGTATGTGATGTGTAGAACGGACGGATTGATTCTCCAAAACCTCTTCGGGGCCAGATCCTAAATACAGTACAAAATTAGGTGGCTGAAGAACACGGTGGCTGGGATACGCGGGGGTCACATTTCGACAGTAGCTAGTGATAGTCATGATAGTGGTAGTTATAATAGTAAGTAATAGTCATAGTAGTAGCAGCTATAATAGTAGTAGTTATAGTAGTAATAGTTATAATAGTAGTAGCTATAGTAGTAATAGTTATAATAGTAATAGCTATAGTAATATATCGAATAAAGATAGATACGATTAGTCGTTAACTAGAATAATAATTAAAATAGCTACTTTATACTTCTAAATATAGAAATCTTAACGAAATATCTTATATATATATTATTTTATAATATAATATTATAGATATATTATATCGTAGAATATCTCGCTAAGATCTTATATTATATTAGATATAAGATTATATAAATCTTAATAACTTATATTATATTAGAGTATAATATAGTAGATTAATATTCTATATTATACTATATCTTTTCGATTAGTAGTTACGAATATTAATTTATTTATTTACGATATTTAATTAAAAAGCGTAGATCTAATAAATTAATAATTGACTATATATATAAATTTAAGATTTTCTAGTTTAATTCTATCTTATTCTTTTATATATATTAATAATATAATTTTTAATTTTATAAATAGTTAAGAAAGAAAGTAAGAGTAAACTTTAAAGGCGTATATCGTAGATATATAAAAATATAATCTTATTCTTAGTTTTTTTTAGATCTATAATATTAATCTAAATATTTATTAACGCGAGTAATTTTAGATTTATCGCGATTTTTTTATAAATAATAAGAAGTAAGTAAATATTATAATAATAAATATAAAGTAGTTTATATTATTAGCTAATATAGTAATTATATATAATCTAAAATAAGCGTTAATTATATTTTTATATTAGATTTTATTTAAAAGTAGTAAAGATTATTAGAATTAATATAGATACGATATTAGTATATATAAGATAGAATAAGAATAATAAGACTATCGAACTATATAGATAAAAAGAAGATATAATATAATAGAAGATATCTTCGTTAAGGCTCGCTAGTTATAGGGCTAAGAGATATATTAAGAATACGCTTATAATACTACTCTCTCTCTTTATAAAATTATATTCTATAATTAATAAGTAGAAAGATAGAAAAATAAATATATATATACGCTTAATATCTGAAAAATAATAAAAGTAATAAAGAAATAATCGTATCTAAGAATTTTAGTATTATATCTTTCTTTATAAGAGATATTAAGAACGATAGTAACTCTTTATATTTACGCTATAGCGATATCGCTAATTAAGATATAGACGTATATAGAGAGCCTAGTTAAGAGAAAATCGATATAGTATAATAAAAATAATATCTATTAATATAGAAGTAAATAGTAATAATTTTCGAATTCATATTTAAGTAAATAAAATATATATAAAATAATATAACGTAATTAGTCGAGGATTCTTAAATTAAATTAAGTTATAAGTATTAAAAACTCTAATTTAATATTAAGTAAGTTTCTTTATAAGATATTATATAGACGATATCGATAAAGACTATTAATAGCGATAGTAAGATTTATAAATAATATATAATAACTTCGAAAGATCTTTACGTATATAATAATAAGAGAAGTTCGCTTAATAAATCTAATATAAGATAGTTATTAAATAATATAGATCTAAGAAATCGATTTTATAAATATGAAAGAATAAGACTATTCTAATATCGAATAGTTTTAATTTATTTAAAAATACGATATTCGAAGTATTGTCGAGCCGTATATTAATCTTAATTATATTATCTCTATATTTATAGAAAGCTCTAGTAATTAAGCTTATATACTTTATTAAAATTTATATTAGATTTAAAGTATTTACTATACTTTTATATATAAGTTTAATTTTTATTTATAAGATTCTCTATTTTAGTAAGATTTAAATCCTCTATATTAAAAATAAGATAAGTTATAATTAAGTATTTACTCTTCTTTATATTAGTCTTAGTCTTTACTTTTATATATTACTTCGTAAATCTTTTAATTTTCTTTTAAATTAATTTCTTAATAAATTATTAATTTTAAAACTATATTTTTATAATATATTCCTTTAATTTAAATATAGTTTAATTTTTTATTAATAGATAAATTAAGTTATAGAAACGAAGTTTTAATTTCTTTAATATAT